GCTGCAAAAAGAGAGACAGATGGAAGGAAAATAAACAGTCTGTGCTTCCTCCAAACTGAAATTACCTGTTGCTTATCTAATAATAATCATCATCCACTGCGATTTTTCCCACCTTAAGCATAAATCAGGATTAAAATGTTGATGTGTCACAACATCCGATTAGCGGCGGAGGTGTAAATTGCAGAGCACGGCAGAGCTGAGCCAGGTAGGAAAGAAACAAGTAGATCAACAGCGGCTCAGAAAAGGCTGAGCACAGAAGGCACTGGGAAGAAACTTCATGGGCAGTTACCTGCAGCCAAAAGCAGTCTCACGAATGGCGGCTCCCCGGCTTGCCGCCCCTTGAAGCCTCTTCTCCTAAAGGAGGAGATTTACGGGTATAAACATAAAATGGGAATTAATCACTAAACATCTCTGGCCCATAATAGGCACCTGGTAAATATTTGTTGGATGGATGGGTGGGTGGGTGGGTGGGTGGATGGATGGATGGATGGATGGATGACAAGGTTTTGATATATTTAATTTATGTAATAATTAGCAATGATGCAACAAAGTTCTATATTATTTCATAGTGCGAATAGTGTGTTTTTTCTATCTCATGATACTCCTATTCCAGATACTCTCTCACTCCCTAGATAAATGTCCCTGTCCTAATGCGTCACTCCATGCCCCCTACTCCAAACACTGTGGTGGTTCTCCATGTCAACAGAACAAACTTGAGATGCCCAACATGGCTTCAAAACCTGCTCCAAGGCCGCCTCTTCATGTATCTCTGGCCTCAGCTCCTATCCTGTGCAGAAACGCTGGCTTAAGCATAACTGGCTGTCGCTTCCCCCCATGTCCTGCAGGCTTTTCCTTGCCTTTCTTCCTTTTCCACCCTCTACCACCAAAGCACTTCTAACTTCCCTTCCAGAGAGAGCTCACAGATTCCCCTGACAAGTAGGCAGCCTTCCCTTAACGTCCTCACACCCCCAACTATCACAACCCTCCTCACGATGCATGAGAGCCATCAGATCACCCACCATCTTCCTCTCTGGACTGGAGGATCCTACAGAGGAAGGTGGAGCCTTTGCTCTCCTAATTTCTGGGCAAAGACGACTTGACACATGGCAGGTACTTGGGAAATAGCGAGGCATGGACAGAGGGCTGGAGGTGGCGTTCATAGCTCTGCCCAGTCATTAATATTTTATTTTCTCCTCTAGGTTTCTGATTCATCAAACCCATTTCTTAATCGAATGCTCAACAGAGATACAATCACAAGAATAACATATAAAAGTAAGTTGGGCTTCATTCCCTGGCAGCGATTATTTACAAAGCTTAGTCCTGTCGGAAGGCAAGAAGCCAGAACCGATCATCTCCATGGGTCCCCATCAGCTTCATGATCCTTTCATTCTGGAGAGCCAGGGTTGGCTAAGGACTAGCTTGATTCAAGCAGAAGTCCCTAGGGTGTCATGGTCATCCACACCTGTCTAAGGCAAAGGTGATTATGGCGATGTGGTCATTGCCTTTCCATGGATTGGTCAGGAGCAGGGGACTCTGCTGTCTATAGTTGGGGCTTTGCCAGTTCTGTGATGAAGAAAGTGCCCACTGTGTGCTCTGCATCCAACCTGGGCCAGGTCTCCCTCTCCTGGGGCTGGGTCCCTATCCAGGAGCATCTAGGGAGGCATCATTTTCTTTCTCTGGGGCCTATGGATCTGGAGGACTCTTCATGGGTGGGAAACCCAGGCACTGGGAGTTTCCAGAGTGTTTCACCCTAGACTTCTTGGGCCGAAAAGAGAAGGCAACGCAAAGTTGCAGGTGAAAGAGAAGGGAAGGTGCTGCCGCCTTCCACAGCCAGCCAACGATGCAGCGAGGGGGCAGCACACCAAGAGACGCAAGAAATCCCAGCAAAGTAGAATGGAAGTCCTGGCCCTCTCACCCTGACCCTGTTTCCACATCTGTAAACTAAACACTGGATTTCGATTCTCTAAAGTGGTCTGGGCCAAGAGTTCTGCGTCAGGTGACACGAAAATAATGATTCCCACAAAAGGAAAATCAGCATGGAACACCATAACTCCCACCTTCCTTCCGAGGGTCCTTGGAGGAGCTTGCTTCACTGCTTGCGCCTGCAATAGCATGTGGAAAGGACAGAGAGGACATTTGCAGGTTTCACCTTGATTATTGGGAGGAAGAGGATGGTAACTCCTGCGCTCATTCATTCACTCATTCAACAAACATTTCCTGCAGGAACGTAATGGTAGCCCAGACCACAGGCCTGCCCACACGGGGGCCAAACCCCAGCCCTCCACACAGGACCCTGCTGGCCCCTCCCGTGCGAAGAGGTTGGGTGCTGGAGGGCTGACGAATGGGTCAATAGAATCGCTCTGCCTAGCTAGCAAGCACCTAGAAGGACGCATTGAGTTGTCTCCACACTCATACGCACGCACGCATGCACGTGCACACACATGCGCGCGCGCACATGCGCAGTGCCCTGGCTCATCGGTATCTTGCAGACCCCTCTCTAAGCCCGCACTTAGAAGGCGCCGCTGAGGGAGGTATTTCTCTCTTGAGCGTAAATAGCACATTTACAACGGCCCATAAAAGGCTATTATTCTTTTAACTTTTTTGATTAAAAAAGCATGAAAATTAAATAAAATGTTTTTAAATAATCTTGAATTTGCGGTTTAGAGACCATGAAAGCTATGGAATTGCACGTTAAGCCCCAACACGTAATCTGACAGATGCCTCTGCACAGTCATTAAGGGGCCTTTTCTCCCTTCCCCACGCTGAGCACTGGTCTGATTAATATTACGTGAGTGCCCTGGGCAAAGGGAAGGGGAGAGGGAAGGAAGGGAAGGGACAAAGGAGGGAAGAAGGGAGGGGAGGGTGGTAACAGGGAGGGAGGAGGAGGAGGCGAGGAGGGAGGGAGGGGGAGCCCCCCCAGGGGGCTCTGGAAGCTTTGGGCCTGAAGCTCTCTACCTCCCTCAGCACTGAGGCCAAGTAACTGTGGGACTGACACCACAGCAGTGACAAGCATCTTGGGGAAAGAGGCTCGGCTTGGGAGAACCAGGAGTCAGTGTCCTGCTAAGGCACTTATGCTAAAGGCAGGCAGAGCCCTCCCCACCCCTGCAGACCTCCTAGAACCATGGAGAGAAGCCATCGGGAGCACCTTCTACTCCTTCAGTTCCTCACTCTGTGCCTGTCAAGGCCATGGGGAAAGAAAGACAAATTGGAATGAGATTAAGAGACCTGGCCTACATGGGCAGAGGGGGCCGCCTCCAGCCTCGGAATAGCAGGTATTTTGTGCTCTTAAGCTCCAGCCGGGAATAATATAGCATCCCCCATAGAGACTTTTATCACTGAAGGGCTCGCTTCACAGGGATAACGGTGGCCTGATACGTGGGGATGGCCGGGACACCGCTACACCCAGGACACTGGTGGAAAGGGATTGATTTGCTCTGCGTGAAGTCACAGCTCCGCTCTCTTCCCGAGGCCTCCGGCCTGTGGAAGGTTGGCCCAGCAACCAACAAGAGCATCTGGAACGGAAGTCACTCAGAGGGACGGAGCCTAGAAGTCCCTCCCATGCCCCTGCAAGAAGCAGGGGTTCAGATCGACAAGCTCACCATACCACTACACAGGGGCTCCTGTTAGATGTCCTGCTTGCAGACTTCTAAGTGACATGGAGATAAGTCAAACACCCACACCCTGTCACCACATCAGTCACACTCCCCAGGGCCACCTGACCTCACACTCTGTGCTACTACCAACCAGCCCAGGGACTGTGGCTACCCAGAATTATACCTGTCATAGCTCCAAGACACCCGCCCACCTAGCTGCAGAGTCCCCACCCACATGATGTGCTAAGTAAGCATCAGGAGCATGGAGGTGCCAGTCACTGAAAACTCTCCACACTTTGGGGTCTGCACTACACATGCAGCACCTTGTGATATGGGTTCACTTATGATCATGGCTACAGAGGAACCCAAGGACACACAACCAACACTGGCTGTTGAAGTCAGCAACTTCTGCATAATAAGCAAGTGCTGGGCGCTAAGCACTGACATCTTACTGGGCCTGTGTGGGTAGAGTGGTTCGGCTCCATGTGACTGTCATCCTTCCAGGATCAGAGGCATATCTGGACCAAATAGTTCTCATAGTGCAGGACAAAAACTTGGGGCATTCCCTAAGGCTTTACCTTGAAACACACACACACACACACACACACACACACACACACACTGCTGTGCATTTTCCATTCGCCAACACCAGTCACGTGGCCGAATCTGCCATCAAAGTTCTCCCAGGGGGTTGGGGGTGAGTAGGGAGCAAATGTCCTGAACAGCAGTCTGTCCTGCCAGATCTGAAAGCAAAGGTTGCTGTGGCTCCCCCTGGGTCCCGTTCCTACTGTGTTTCCTTCCCATCTCACTTCTCTGCAGAGCAAGGAAGACTTAGCTCTGAGCTCTCAAAGCTAGTTGTAACCCTGGTACCTGGACATTATATGAAACTCGTCAGCCTCTTTGTCTCTTATTTGCAGCACTGGTTCAAAGTGAAGAGTCATCTTTTTGCCTTTTGCATTTGACTCCACTTGGAAGGGGCACAAAACACAAAGCTGAAGCAGTGGGCATGTCGCTCAGGCTCATCCTACTGGAAATGCTGGCCTATCTTTCCCTTGGCATGCGACCTCTAATGGAAATCAGAATCAGCCAGGATATCAGTGCCATGACTTGGCGTAGACAGTAACCAAAGAGAGCATAAAAATGGGCTCAGGATGGGGTGGGCCCTCTCTAAGTCCATCCCTTGGAGGCCATGTTATAATGAGAAACCATCCTACGACTTCAAGGAGAGTGACACCACCTGACACTCTGATTATTTGGCTGAAGTTGACAGCAGCAACCATTCAAAGGAGGAAGAGGAAAGCAGCCATTCAAATGATGAGGCCAGCACCCTGACCACAGAAAAGCTAAGCAATGCTTTGATAGATCAGGTGTGTGACAGGTGAAACAGAGCAGAGCCAAGGACGGCTGCACAGTTTTCAGTGGAGCAAGACTTGAAGGCAGACCTTTCCTTCCATGGGGATGGAGAAGACTGTGGATGTAGCATTTCTGTGGGCAGAAAGAGAATCACAAATTTGGAACCCGTGGTGCCTGGGATGTCTATTAGGCATCCAAGAAGAGATGTGGTGTAGGCAGTGGGGTGTGCAAGTTTAGATTCCAGGAGAGAGAACTGAGGATGTAAATGTGGAAGACACTGACTTCCAGATGGCATTTAAACTTGGGTGAGATCATGGAAGGAAGAATAAATAGAGGGGAGAGGCGGGACGCATCCTCACTTCTGAAAGAACAGCTCCCATCTTCATGACTTAGAACCAGAAAGCATTTCTAAAGATATCTTTCAGATCTCACCTTGGAAGAGACTCTTGCGTGACCAGCCATCAGCTGGCTGAAGAGGTGGAAGAGGGAGAACAGAACATGGAGAGCTGAGAGGAAGTCACCACAAAATGGAGGCTGATAGGAACACAGCCTGTTTCTCGGGTTTATAAAATGGGCACAGAGAAAGTGAATAGAGAAAGGGGGGAATCTTTTGTGTCAGTTGAGAAAAGTCAGGAATTATAAAAGGAAGAAAGAAGGGGAATCTTGCCAAGAAGAGAGGACCATTTCAGAAGCCATGCTGATGATGTTTGAGGCAGTGTGCTCTTGTGAGGAGAAATGGAACTATTGAGTAGACTTGGTCTCCTCTGGTGGACATACCACTGCCTTTGCTGTGTGACTTCAGACAGGCTCCTTAACTCTTCTGAGACATAGTTACCTAATCAGTAAAATGAGAACATTAGTACTGATGTTGAAAGAGTTGAAAGCATAGATTAAACAGGGTAATGAGTCCATTGTAATGAGTTGGGCAACGAATGCTTTAAACTCGGTGTACAATGTATACATGTGTGTGTGTTCCTAAATTGCTCTAAGGTATGTGCCTGTCCAATCCAGCCTCCTGAAGGGCAGGAGACAGATAACCATGCTGTGGTAAAGGTGAATATAAAACACTGAGTTTGCTTCTTTTGCATAAAGCGCAGGTCCTGTATTTGGATATAGTAATGACTTCATGCAATTCTAACTTCTTTCCTTGGAAACTTGGACTTCGTACATTTAAGTAAAACTTATAAAACACCCCGACTAACCAGGACTGACAATGAAAAAGACCAACCTGAATTAATTTCAGGGTGAATTTAGAAAGTCTTCTAAAGAAAACCCATTTTATTAAAATTAAATTCCCCTTCAACAGAGTGAGGGTCAAGATTGAAT